TGAAGCTCAAGGAAAGCTTAACCAGCTAATCTGCGCTGGTGAGCCAACCTGAAGGTTCCTATGTGGAATCATGCTGAAGAGTCCTTTGTGGATTTTCTGTCGTTCTCTGCAATGAGCTGGAAGCTCAGCCTGAAGAATCCTATGTGGATTTTCCCTGTTGTTCTCTGCAGTGAGCTGGAAGCTCAGATCAAGGTCTGCCATGCTAAGCCTGAAGCTAGATGCTTAGCTTCTCATAAACTCTGCTAACCAACAGTCTCCGGTCCCCGTCAAGACTTTAGTGAACCAGCCTTGAACCTGTTACAGATTAGGTTATTTTTCCTGTGCTTGTGAACCACAATAAACTCTGTTGAACTTTTACCCCGTTTCCGTGTGTGTTCTGCATTTTGGGCTTAACTCAGAGACCCATCATGACACCTACTTGTTTAACATAAATTACAGTAATCTACTTATGCTATGAAACAGCAAGTGTTTGTCCAGGAGATGATTTAGCTTTATTTTAAAAGACTAAACCCCCACTGAAAGTAATAGTTGTTTAATGCTGTGGCGCACATATTGCTTACATTGCGACCGGTCTAACTAGGGAGTACCGATATGGCAGCCGGTGGATTCAATACTACCAACAGGCTATCAGCAATCCAGTGAATACATAGAAATTAGTGGGAGGCACTAGTGTTCCATTTGTTATTCATTTATTGCACCACTAAATGTGGGTAAATCTTAAACACTGTCCCTTTAACAATAAATAAAAATGAACGCTCAGTCTCCACACAAACAGGTACATTTTTAAGGATTTATTAAGAGAAAGAATCTTATATTAAACAAAAAAAACAAAATAGCAAAAGAATCAAGCCATGATGCATCATGAAACACAGGATTGATCAGATGGGAATTGGTAGAAGAAAGTGACGAGAAGTACAAAAAAACTAACATCAAGATTGTGGCTCTTGCTTAAATAAAATAATGAAAAATCTAAATGCTGATGTGAAGACTTAGATTTTATAAAATATGACATCAATACCAACCTGATTTTAGTTCAAATAGACAAGCCTGCAGACATGTGTGTTTACTTTTGTGAGGCTGCAGGAGGGATGGGCTTCAGAGTAACCCACTTCTGGCACGGCTACATGAATCATAAACACTGAGAACTGCAAGTGGTGGCCTCTTCGCACTAAAGCAACTAATGAGCAGGAGAAACACGTTTTAAATTACACACAGACCAAACCTCTGGCTCTCCTCCTTGCGGTTATGTGTATAAGCAGTCCTTACAGCTACACAAGCCTCTGAAGAAATAGAGAAGCAGGATAAAGCAGATGCAAAGATCCAGACAAATGAAAATGTGAGTAAATAACTAGGTTGTTGGAAATTAGATGTAAACTGTGCAGGACAAGGGAGGAAAGATTTTCCACTAGGGCGATACAGTTTTTTAACTGATTTTCATTCATTATAGCAAACCCACATGGTTCTTATTGGTGCCTTAGGGTTGTTCTCTGGAGGAAAATACAAGCTCTTGTAACATAAAACAAACCCCTAAAACATATAAAAGAGTTCCAGTTCTTTTTTCTGTCTGTATATAATTTTGCAGACAGTTTATGTGTCTCCTCGGCCCTTTCTCAGTGTTCCTGTTTGCTCGATCACTGTGCTCAGCTGCAGGTAAAGCCTCTGCACATCTCTCGCTATGGAAACTAGAGAGCTTTTTATCATATCCAGGTTCAGCTGTGAAGATGCTTCTTGTTCCTCCTGCTCCGTTAGGGAGGTCCAGCCTAAACTTCCAGGTCTCTGGGTTGGTTGGTGTCTGTTTCTGCTGTTTTCTGACACTGCCTCCTCAAGACGATTCAGTCGAGCGCTGTCCTCATGTTGGCTGTTCAGGATCATCTGCAATGTGGCATTTATCCTCCTCTCCATCTCTGCTCTTCCTTGGTGGAGCTCTGCCAAGCTGTGCTGAAGCCTGAGAGTCTCCAGGTCTGTCTGTGCCCTGCATGCTGACACCTGCCTGGGTGCAGTCTGCTGTGAAGCCCCCCTGAGGAGCTTGTCCATCTGGCTCCTCAGAGAGACCATTCCTCCACAGCACTGCTCCATTGAGTCCAACAGCATGTTCTGTCTCATGTGGAAATCCTCCAGAGCGATGAAAAGCTTGTCCCAGTGGGAGAAATCTGTACGACATGGTTTGGTAGGGGACTGTTCTATAAAGGAAAGAAAATATGAAGCTTCAATTAATGTTAATATACTAAAGATTAATTAGAACACGTGGTTTATAGGACTTGAGGTTAATTAAAAAGGAGGGCTTAAAGCATTGTGAGGATCTTTTTCAATGAACTATTAGTGCACAAGGGAATCTCTCTGAAAAGGGTAACTGTTTTGTTTTTTTCTTCAGTGGTAAAGTCAACAAACGCCTTACAGTCACCTTATTTGTCAAACAGAGCACACTGAAAAAATAGTAGTTTAAGTATTACTCAGATTTCTTTATACTATTTAAATGTTTAAATGAATTTCGGGGAAAGAGTACGTTTTACTCAGATTTCCTTATACTATTTAAATGTTTAATAATGTTTAAAATAGCAGTATGTAATGTTTAAAATAGCAGTATGTACATAAACCTAAAAATACTACATAAACTTTACTGGTAGTGTTTTGAAAGACATGCTTGGTGCATGCGCACTGTAGCTCGCAGCAGGACTGATTTTGCTCTGAGTAAAGATGTATTCAGGATCATACACAGAGCAAGAGGTAGTTCCAATGACAGTCATTTTAGCAGGGTGCAACAGTACTGCAAAAGCCTGCTCGTTGCTCATGGGACTGATATATGCCCTGAACTTGGTATACCCTTCCTTTGGTATACCCTTCCTTTCACCCAATCAAGCCAACAACGTTGGGCTACACCTTGGAAGTCTTCCAATAACTTTTCCTGGAGTTGGATGGATTTTAACTATCCTCAAAAGTAAACACCCTGAAGTTGAAGTTGTTTGTCTCTGTGTTGCCCTGTGATAGACTGGCAACCTGTGCAGTGTGTACCACGCCTCTCGCCTGTAGACAGCTGGAGATAGGAACCAGCACTCCTTGCGACCCCACCTTTTACTTCATAAAAGCAAGTACTACAGGGATATAAGATGTACTTAAAATTTTTAGTAAAATGCGTATGAAAAACAAGGACACTAAATAAATAAATCTAACTTA